TTTCCTCTCTATTCAGTCTCATCTCTCTTTTTAACTTTTCTTTCTCACGTCTGAGTTCAGTGTTTGATTATTTTGTATCCAAATTCAATACTCGATGTTTTTTGAACTACATTGTGCCTTCAGGCACGAGTTATTTCTAGTATATATATATATATCACGAGTTAGCGTGGGTGGAGAGGGGATGGGGCGGAGGTAAGTGTCAGTTCATTATCGTGTGGGTTTATACGAGTACCACCGTATACGTTTACCGTCCAATACGTATAGTCAATTCTCGGTCCAAACAGAATAAATTTGGACAAATACCTATTTTTTTTCGGTCGACTGTCATCGCTACACATTACTCACTAACAGGCCTGCCAAGGGCTCGGAACTATGATTCCAGTGTCTTGGGTTTGGGCTCAAATGTTTGGGTTAGTGTCCTAGATTCCAGTAACTTGGGCTTGGCCNGGAACTATGATTCCAGTGTCTTGGGTTTGGGCTCAAATGTTTGGGTTAGTGTCCTAGATTCCAGTAACTTGGGCTTGGCCCATTGAATTATACGAAATATCGAATGGTATTTTCGGAATAGATGACAATTCGGGCGGTGAGGCCGCAGGCGGGACAGTGTCTTTTATGATCTGCTGACTGTTCACACTCACACAGAACTTCACTCTGTATGCCAATTTTTAGAGAGAGAGAGAAGGTAGAGATTTAGAAAGAGAGAGATTGAAAGTCGGCAAATGGCGATGTCTTTGGGGGTTTTCTCCGGTGCATTCGCCGGAGAAACGGCGTCATTGGTCAACCCATCTTCGCTCAGGCTTGTTGCTCCTGTTGTTAATCCATCTCGTGTTAACCTGCGCTCAGTGTGCTTTGTAACCCTGGCCACCGCGTCCAAGCCGGCGTCAGAGACCACCAAGCGCGAGCCGAGAGGTATCATGAAGCCACGCCGAGTCTCGCCGGAAATGCGAGCGTTCCTCGGAGGCGTTTCCGAGATTCCTCGCCCCCAAGCCCTCAAGCAGATTTGGGCTCACATCAAACAGCACAACCTTCAGGTATGATCTATCCATAGAGTACACGATTATTTTTCCTACAACTTCATGTTTTGTATTATTTTTTTGAAGCCCTAACTCTTTTTTTTTAATCTAAAGTGTGCTTAGAGTTGGTATGCGTTTTTAGATGGTTTATGTGTCATTCTCCGATTAATTGACGGAATTGGGATATCTGGTGTTGTATGCTTGAGATAGGTGTAAGATGAAATGTGGGTTTGTTATTAATGTACCNTCTCCGATTAATTGACGGAATTGGGATATCTGGTGTTGTATGCTTGAGATAGGTGTAAGATGAAATGTGGGTTTGTTATTAATGTACCTAGTGTTGTTCTAGAGAAATTTTGTTTGCACCAAAACTTTTACTAAATATCGGACTCCAAATGATGTCGCACATTGTTAGTCAATNCAAGATGAATTGTGGGTTTGTTATTAATGTACCTAGTGTTGTTCTAGAGAAATTTTGTTTTCACCAAAACTTTTACTAAATATCGGACTCCAAATGATGTCGCACATTGTTAGTCAATCAGTCATTGGATAATTGGTGAGAGTTTGTGGGACTTACTGATCTTATATTCACATTGATTTGGGATTCAAAATTTTGTAAATGCTTTGGTGGATGTAGCATTGTTGGTTGTTCAGTTGAGTTTTTAGATTTGCTTATGTCCTATTTTGGGGTTTTTTTTTTTGTCAGAATGAATTTATCGTTTATATATGAATAATGTTATTTTGGGTAAACAGGATGTGCGTTTGAAACATGCTCATACCGCTGTCTTACTTTACTGAATTGAACTTGGGATTGTTATATGTGAAAAATGTTGTGTTGGTAAGGATCAAATGTAGGTCTGATTTTTATTAAAGGTTTTGGCATGGGTTTATACGATATTATTTGTCCTCTTTGGTCTTTCTAAAGTCCAGGTAAGGCTGTATTGGTATTGATGAACTAAGTCGTGACCATACATATGAAGATGCACAAGTATCTAATTATATGATACTCAAAGTCACTGCTTTATTGAGTAAGGTGGTTGTTCTCTGCTCTTGCCGGATTGTAGTTTGAAGTATTCACTCTTTTGAACTGATCAGTAACAGTACTGGTATAAAGCGTGGAACGAATAGCCCGCATCAATTAGAATAGGCCAACTGCTTAATGGAGAGCCACTCATGTTGCTCTCTTTATATATATTTGTAATATTAGATTTGGTTTGATATTGGTAATTTAACTCCATTATTACAGATGAAGCTAGCTAAATGCCCGTACAAGTTAATTTCACTTTCTTGAGGAAGAAGGGTCGAGTGCTAGAAGAAGGGGAGTACATGGAGATACTCTTCCCACGTGGCTGCACTGACTATGTGCTGTTGCTATAAACTTGTCTTTTACTTACCTTCCATTTCAGTAACATTTTGCTATCTTTGAATATAAATGGCCATATTTGAAGGTCACGCCTTTGTTAAAAATGTAATTTTTCAAAACATTCTCGACTTTTTTGGAAAGTTTTCTTGAAGGTTTGAAAGTATTTCTAGTAAAAATGATCCAATCAAGTTTCAAGGTGAAGCAATCTAGCGACACATCATCTTACTTCTACGAGTGTTTGCATGAATGTGTTGCTTGATTCCATTTGTATCAAGACGGAGATGATGTAATATGTGGTTCTACTTCTATGCATTTAGCAGCAGAACAAATCTGACTACTTCTATGCATTCAGCTGCAGAAAAATCTGACTTGTTAATTTCTTTCCTTTTTAGGACCCAGAAAACAAGAAGGTCATAGTCTGCGATGTGGAACTGAAGAAAATATTTGGGGGGAAGGATCGTGTTGGGTTTCTTGAGATTGCAGGGTTGATTAACCCCCACTTTCTAAAGTGAGCCAGTTTGCAGGAGAATGGGTTCAGGTTTTACTAGTAATCCCTTGAGTTTGTTATTTGTAAATGTGGCTATGGTTTCGTATGTGATATTACTCTTAGGAAACAATAGTGCTGCTATATGCCTACATATGAGCATTGCTCTATCTTAGTTTTGATGAGTAATGTTGTTGTTGGCTCAGTATGTGTAGGCCTCCCTGCGGAACACTTGTGGTGACTGTTATGTTTTGTTTGTTGATCATCTTAAATTTTGTGGAATCAAATATGCTCATATTATGTTCTTGATATTTTTAATTTTTTTTATGCAGATGCACACACAACACCTTTTGCACAGGTTCTTAAAAATACATATTGCAATTACATACCCCCTTCTTTGGCCCTGCAGCAAAATGAAGGTCCTTCATATCTGCTGGTTTTGTGTCTTTTCCTTGCTTAGTGTCAATTAGGTAGCAAAAATCTTGATTGTGGGTAGGGTGCAATTGCTCTCTCCTCTTCCATGACTTCCATTGCAAATATATGGTGTAGTATGGATCTGAGGAGGCTCTCAAAAGCTTATCTTTTGGGTGTTCAATTGTTCTTCTGGAGACCATCACTTTCCATGCCTCAAGTTGGTTGTTGGATGAAAAGGAGGTTAGATCATTACTTGAAGTTTATAACAAACGATAAAAAGGAGAGAAATGAATGGATTTAGGGGCATTTTGACCCATTTTTCTTTTCTGCCTAAAAGTGGAAAGATTTGAAGAGAAAAAAGAGGTATTTGTGATTGATGAGATAGGTTACGGTATCGTTCGGTATTGTACCGAAAATTATAACTTTTTAATGTTAAGTTATAATTTTTTTGAGGTGTANAAGATTTGAAGAGAAAAAAGAGGTATTTGTGATTGATGAGAAAGGTTACGGTATCGTTCAGTATTGTACCGAAAATTATAACTTTTTAATGTTAAGTTATAATTTTTTTGAGGTGTAAATTATTACTTTAAAGGTATGATCTATAAAAAAAAATTGGAATTGATATTGAAAGTTCATGGTCAATTAGGATTGTCTGTGATCGGCCCTTGAGTGGTCGTAACTTCTCTTTTTTCGAGTTATAATTTTATCATAAAAAGTGATAATCGTCAGTACAATATCAATTTTTTTATTTTTTTTCCCATATCATAGAGTTTCTCGTGATTAATTGTTGTATTTGTCTATATCTTTTATTAAAGTGATTTTCCATTTTGTTCTTCAAAGTAATAAAAATAGGCATTTGTTTCTTTTCTATCCTTATAAAAGCCAAAACAAATAGAGTAAATGAATTTATCAAAAAATAAATAAAATAGAGTAAATGGGTCATTATGTTATCTTCTTTTCTCCTAAACTTGCCAAGCAAATATAAGTGGAAATCGAATTTTTTTTTTCTTTAGTTCGAAATTCGTCTACACTTTGTTTTTTAGTCTTCTCAACTAAAGTGTGATGCTAATATTATCTTTCATCGGAATTATAGTATCTCCTTTACAATGGCAAACATTAATTTTTTACCTTTCTATCTAAGTCATACCGACTTTCCAGAAAGTGAAAAAGACCAAGATCAAAAAACTAAAATGTGAATTACAATAGCTTACCCTACAAAAGATTAAGGAAAAATATTAGGGGAATCTCCACTTAGAATTTTGAAAGATTAAAGTTTTTTTATTTTTTTTATTTTGCACTTTCAAATATGAGCTTTTTTACATTGTATCTTTAACGTAGTCTTTCCATTATTTTTCTTTGTTTATTTCATCAAAAACTCACTCATTGACGTTGATGGAATGAGTAACAAAAATTAATAAAAAAACAATATTGTGACACTTTTAATATATTGATGGTCAAATATGAAAATTTTAATCTTTGAAGATAAAATAAAAATTCTTTAGGGTACAACGTAAAATTCTTATATTTTCATTCTTAATTTGAATGAGAAAATTACAGTAACACCCTTGACTGGAATATGACACTTTTTTGGGGGGTAAATTACGCTCGTTCTAATAAAGAGATAAAACAGATTTTTCTCAAGCAAGTTGGTCTTTGGCGCCGCGCTGCTTAAGAATCGAACAGGAGTTCACTCCAGTACAAGCCTGTAAGCAAAACTCTTTCCCCCATGGCAGAGAAGCTAGCGCTCCCTCTTCTACTACCAAATCCACCGCACACGAAACCCTTCTTTCAAGAACAACAACCCCATACCAAACAACCCACCTTACCTCCTCCGCAACTACAAGCACCACCACCCTTAACCCCTCTCCTGCAAGACCTCATCCAACCCCAGAACCCTACAAAAAATTCCACACAAACCCAACCTTTCCAATCCCCAAATTTGACCACCGCCATCCTCAGAACACGACGTCGTATTGGCAGACACCGCGACACCAACAAGGGCAAGCCGTGGTCTCACTACCGCCTCTCCCCACTAGGTGAGCGAACCCTCCAAACCCTTCTGAACCCAGAATTTGATATCGCCAAAGTTAATGAAACACTGCTTGAATTATGCAATTCACACCAACAAGAAAAAGAAGAATTGTGTGTAGAGTCTTTGCGTTTTGATATTTTAGGAATTATTAAGGGTTTAGGGTATTATAAGAAATGTGACTTGGCATTAAGTGCGTTTGAATGGGTTAAGAATCAGAACGATTCGGAACTTTTGTTAAATGGGTCTGTTGTTGCTGTCATCATAAGCATGCTTGGCAAAGAGGGCCGGGTTTCATCTGCATCTTCTTTGCTTCACAATTTGCATAAAGATGGCTTTGGTATTGATGTTTATGCTTACACTTCTTTGATAACTGCTTGTGCTAGTAATGGGAGGTATAGAGAGGCTGTCTTGGTTTTCAAAAAAATGGAGGAAGAGGGTTGCAAACCTACTTTAATTACATACAATGTGATTTTGAATGTGTATGGGAAAATGGGTATGCCATGGAATAAAATTATTTCGGTGTTTGATGGTATGAAGAGCTCTGGAGTTGCCCCTGATGCATATACATATAATACCCTTATAAGTTGTTGTCGGCGTGGATCATTGCATGAAGAAGCTAAAGATATATTTGAGGAGATGAAATTAGCAGGATTTGAGCCTGATAAGGTTACTTATAATGCATTGTTGGATGTCTATGGTAAGTCTCGGCGGCCTAAGGAAGCCATGGAGGTTTTGAGGGGGATGGATGTTAATGGGTTTTCTCCTAGCAATGTGACTTACAATTCGCTAATATCAGCTTATGCTAAAGATGGTTTGTTAAATGAAGCAGTGGAGTTAAAAGTCGAAATGGTGAAAAAAGGGATAAAGCCAGATGTGTTTACTTATACAACTCTGTTGTCAGGATTTGAGAAGGCTGGGAAGGATGAGTCTGCAGTGAGGGTTTTTGACGAGATGAGAAGTGCAGGTTGTAATCCAAATATATGTACCTTTAACGCTCTTATTAAGATGCATGGCAACAGGGGAAAATTTACGGAAATGATGAAGGTTTTTGAAGAGATCAAGGGCAGTGGATGTACCCCAGATATTGTCACTTGGAATACTCTTCTGGCAGTCTTTGGGCAGAATGGGATGGATTCTGAAGTGTCTGGAGTGTTCAAGGAAATGAAGCGAGCAGGGTTTGTAGCTGAGAGGGACACTTTCAATACCTTGATCAGTGCTTATAGCCGCTGTGGGTCTTTTGACCAAGCAATGGCTGTTTATAAGAGAATGTTGGAAGCAGGGGTCTCTCCAGACCTATCCACCTACAATACTGTTTTAGCAGCATTGGCGCGGGGAGGGCTTTGGGAACAGTCTGAGAAAGTGCTCGCTGAAATGGAGGATGGTCGATGTAAACCTAATCAGCTGACTTACTGTAGTTTGCTTCATGCTTATGCTAATGGGAAGGAAATTGAACGGATGCATGCTCTTGCACAAGATATATATTCTGGAATTATCGAACCCCATGCTGTGCTTTTGAAGACCCTTGTTTTAGTCTACAGTAAAAGTGACCTGTTAATGGAAACAGAGCAAGCTTTCCTGGAGTTGAGAAGAAAAGATTTGTCGCCTGACATAACTACTCTCAATGCCATGGTTTCCATTTATGGTCGAAGGCAAATGATTACCAAGGCAAATGAGATAATAAACTTCGTGAATCAGATGGGGTTCACTCCTAGCTTGACCACGTACAATAGTTTGATGTATATGTACAGCCGATCTGGAAATTTTGAGAAATCTGAAGAAATACTGAGAGATCTTTTGGCAAAAGGAATCAAGCCAGATGCTATTTCTTATAACACCGTGATATATGCATATTGTAGAAATGGTCAGATGAGAGAGGCCTCACGGGTCTTCAAGGAAATGACGGAATCTGGGCTTGTTCCAGATGTGATCACATATAACACCTTTGTTGCAAGTTATGCAGCCAATGGAATGTTTGTGGATGCCATTGATTTGGTTCGATACATGACCAAGCATGGCTGTAAACCAAATGAGAGCACATACAACTGCATCTTGGATTGGTATTGTAAGCTTGATAGGAGAGATGAAGCAATAATGTTTGTTAATAACCTGCGTAAGCTTGAACCCCATGTATCTAAGGAGGAAGAATGTAGATTGTCAGAAAGATTGACAAGTAAGTGACTGCAGAAGATCGTCTTCTGGTAATGGGTTCCGGGCCACTGGAATGGTGTCTGTCCCAAGAATCTTGTATTCGTCCTGTTCTTTCCCTGCTTCTGGTGGTATTATATCACGAAAGCAGCAAGAACAGTGTGATATTGTTGTATATTATTCTTTTTCTATGTGGATTTCTATAGCAGCTGATTCATGAACTTGTGTATATGAGGGCCCTGAGCTATATGCTTTGGACACCCTGTAAAGCTGGGCATCAGACCTTTTGTAACTCACTTGGAAAATAGCTGGGAAAGCTGAGGATAAGGTATGTGCAATGACCAATTTAGCATCCAATAGGAGCAAATTACAGCTTATTGTTTTTCATCAGTGTTTATTTCTTTTTGTAGAAAGGTTGGTCATATTTGATGCTCTATGCACATTTATTTTTAAAGCATTACCAAATAACTGTCATGTTTGTGTAAGGTTGCTCAGTTATAGTGGATAAATGATTGGCATCCACTGAAGATGGCAGCAGTAAAGGGTGGAGCACGAATGAGGTAGCTTATGCTTTTCTTTATTTTTCGCTTCCTCGTCTGGTAAATAGGTTCCAATAGAGAAGCTTCTCCTGTTGGTGGAAGGATGCTTTAAGTGTATGGTTGTTGTCATGAACATGGTCTGGTGTTGCTTAGTGTGTGGTTTGTTCGTATATTGATTTTTCATGACTTATATGTGCTAAATCCTTGCGTTTCAAAGTTTATTTGACTGTGCTTCTGCCGTGGCGCTAGGATTATCTAAACTCTGACCTGTTCATAAGAAATACATATTCTTGTTTCATTACAAACTAACATATGTATGGGAAATCAACCAAGAAGCCGGAGTAGCAGTGAGCAAGTGTGGATTAGGGTTCGTATTGTGTTTTAGAATTTCATTTTCTGAGGTTTGTAGTATATATTTCTTCATTTTTCTGGGTGGCAATCCTCCTCGAAGAATGTGGCTATTATGAGAAGATGAAAATTCTAAAGTTATCATTTTTTATGGGTAAAATTATAATTTTAAAATAAGAAATTATAATTGTTCAAGTAAAAATCATTTTCAATTATTGGTTTCATTAATTCTATAGAATTTAATTGATCTCCTACTGAACTTGGGGACCTTCTGGTGGGGGTCTCAATTGGGTAGTATACCCTCCCCAAACAAAAAAAAAAAGAAAAAAAACTTAGTAGCTTCGTCCTATGATATGTTTGTGCCTTTATTTGATATATTTCTGGTACCAGATGTAGTTATGTAGTGCACATGCAGTTATGTAGTATATTTCTATTGACTCTGGGAGTAATGAGTTTATTTATTAATTTATTCAATCAATTTGAAGATCCTCCAATGGGAGTCGCGGAGGTGCCGTAACCAAATAGATTTATCTGGAATCATCGAGTTGTCCACGTGGACGTCTATCCACCATTGAAACTACGTGAAGGTACAAAAGTGGTCCGAAATTAACGTGCAGTGTTGATTCTGTCCAATCACAAATAATCTCAGCAGTGACGTAGAAAACACAAAGAAAAAACAGCTATACTTCAGAATTATTATTTTTGTAACAATAATAGATTACGGTAGACGTCTATTGGGTATTATATTTAAATGGTGATCAATAACCTATTATTAGAAAGAAAATCCGGTCCTTATGTATTCTGTCATTACGGAATTAGATAAGGGATTACACAACAACAAGGCTCTGATGAGATAATCTAAACTTGTGGGCTACTTCGAAAAGCAGCGGCATTTCATGAAACAAACACGAGAGAGGGAGGACCATTCCACGTGTCCATGCACCACCCCTCCTCCCACCCAATAAATTATAAATCCATCCCCCTCCCTCCTCCTGGCGTACCTACCTTCACAATAATTCTCTCTCTCTCTCTCCCTCCCTCCTTCCCTCTCTACCACTTCTCAGTTCTCACTCACACGTAAAATGAGCTGGTGGTGGGCTGGAGCTATCGGCGCTGCGAAGGCAAGCAATTCCTGCCCCCTCTCTCTCTCTCTCTCTAGATTTACACACACACACACACACACTGAATTATTCTTCTTATATTCCAACATCTGAAGCTAAAATATATATCCCAATCACCTATTTGCAGAAAAAATTCGAAGAAGACGATGCACCACAAAAGTACCAAAGCGTGGCCCTAATCATCGGCGTCACCGGCATCGTTGGAAACAGCCTCGCCGAGATCCTCCCACTCGCAGACACCCCCGGCGGCCCATGGAAGGTCTATGGCGTCGCTCGCCGGCCAAGGCCCTCCTGGAACGCAGACCACCCAGTCGAATACATCCAATGCGATATCTCAGACCCAGAAGACACCCAATCGAAGCTCTCAAATCTCAACGATGTTACCCATGTTTTCTACGTCACATGGGCTAGTAGATCCACCGAAGCCGAAAATTGTGAAATCAATGGAAAATTGTTTAGAAATGTTCTCCAATCAATCATACCCAGTGCCCCAAATTTGCAGCATATCTGTCTTCAAACCGGAAGAAAACACTACTTGGGCCCTTTTGAATTGTACGGGAAAATTGCCCATGATCCTCCGTTTCACGAGGATTTACCTAGGCTTGATGCTCCAAATTTTTACTACACGCTTGAGGATATTTTGTTTGAGGAGGTGGAAAAGAAGGAAGGACTAACATGGTCTGTTCATAGGCCAGGAACGATATTTGGGTTTTCGCCATATAGTTTGATGAATATTGTTGGGACCCTTTGTGTTTATGCTGCTATATGTAAGCATCAGGGTGTTCCTCTGAGGTTTCCCGGTTGTAAGGCGGCGTGGGATGACTATTCGGATTGCTCAGACGCAGACTTGATCGCCGAGCATGAGATATGGGCAGCGGTTGATCCCTATGCGAAGAATGAGGCCTTTAATATTAGCAATGGAGATGTGTTCAAGTGGAAGCATTTTTGGAAGGTGTTGGCTGAGCAGTTTGAGGTGGAATGTGCTGAATTTGAGGAGGGAGAGAAATTGAGTTTGGTGGAGATGATGAAGGGTAAGGAGTCAGTGTGGGAAGAGATTGTGAGAGAGAAGGGTTTGTTGCCTACAAAATTGGAAGATGTTGGAGTTTGGTGGTTTGTTGATATGATGCTTGGTGGTGGGTGCATGTTGGATACTATGAACAAGAGTAAGGAGCATGGATTTGTGGGGTTCAGGAACACAAAAAACGCATTCCTTTCTTGGATAGATAAGGTCAAAGCTTACAAGATTGTCCCATAGTTCGATATCTTTCTGGGTGGTCTTGGGGTGAGTTAATATCTTGAATAAGTTTGTTCTCTTCATTATGTTGTGTCCTTAAAAGAAAGGGAATAATTTTGGAAGGAAGCTTTGGCTTTCTGAATCACTGTATTTTTTGGCTTTTGCTGTTTCCTGTAATGGTCGAATTAGATTATGAGCATTACCATTGATTGGTGTCTTGTTTGTTCATCTGTTGGTTTTGAGGTCCGTTGAGGTCCAAATTTACTTCATTTCCTAATTGTGATGTGAAGTATATATCATTGCACCTTAATTGATCTCATGTGCAAATAGATTTCAAGATTTGAACCGGGGAAGCATAGATCTAAGTGAAGAAGGCAACATAGTGTTGTGCAATATATGGGCATTAGAACCAAAGGTATTAGCTAAGCTATGAATTGTAAAGAGAGTTGAAGGCCATAAATGAATCTATCACCTCATCATATTGAGAGTAGATGTATATCATGGGAAACAAGTTATGCTGACTTCTATGAAAGGGTGCCATTATAATAAATTTGAGTAGTCTGAACTAGTAAATAGTCCAGAATGGGAGAAGATGGACTCGGTGCTTAGAGGCTGTTTTCTAGAAAGATTGAGAGCCACAATCCACATAATTAAATATTCTTTTTAAAATGTGCACATCTTTTGTCATGTAATTGCTTTGAGTATCTAGCATTTGGTGTTTGAATCTATGGTCTGTGTGAATCCTATAAGGATTCATTTAAAGTCTACCTCGTTCAAAACTCCCTAGGCCTTACTATTAACTGAAGGTTAAGTGTCTTACCTCCCAGTCTCAATAGATGTAATGAAATCTAAAGAATAAGACCCTCTGGACCAGTTTTTCAAGAATTTATAGTTTCAATGTAGTTGCAAATAATGTAGCAAACACCTATTTTGAGCAGTCACAAACAGCTGGTGCCCAGGAGAGTAGAAGGCCTAGGTCTTTTGGGACTCCGGCTAGGAGCTAGAATACTTGTTAAAGCAGATAAGGTGTTAGGAAAAGCCTAGACACCTTATAGAAGTCCTGCTTATGAGATGCCTCTAAGCTTATTATCGATGCCCAATTCAGAGTTGAGCCTCGGGTGCAATTGTCCTTGATCTCCTGTCAAATACAATCTCAAACAGAACAGACTGTTTACATAGAAAAACCTAATGTCAATACACCATCATATCATCCCTTGCATAAACTTTGTTTTCTCTCTAGGGCGAAACTGATTTCCAATAAAAGAAAAAGGAAAATCTCAAGAGTGTTGGTGCCAAGTTATAATGATTGAAGAATAGATGCACGTAAAGCTCGGAACTAACCCCATCAATTAACCTGCAAAATATTCTTAACTATAAAACTCAAATATACACTACAAAACTAATCTAGAATGCAAAAGCAGGTCCTTCACTCTATCATAAAATGTAACACATCAATAAGCCAATTCAGATGCAATCTACTCATATATTTACCTTCAATTCCAAATCCAAACCATAGCTTCTGCCACAAGGTGCTAGAGTTTAGAAAGCAGTAATGCTAGCTCCTCATCAGACACCTTAACATCAACACATACTCCAACCGACACAGCAAGTCTTGCAGCAACTTGATGCTTACACTGGACGAGAATGCAGTAATATGGAGGAAGCAAAGGACAATTAAGGACCCTTAATGAAATCATACTAATATCAAGCAAATGCATAAGCAGAAAAGCAGAGCTCACACAAAGCTGTTCTCCTCTGTTTACTATGTCATAGAAGAAGGAATAACAAGCACAGTAGTGTTCAGGAAAGCAAAAATATTCCTCCTTCCTCCTAGATTCTCCCACCACCTAACAAGTGCAAGTAAATAAAAAAAACAATCATTATTGCTTCTTTTGAATCATTTGAAGGTATTATGGCAAAAACTAAATGCAGACGAACATGAAAAATTCTTAATTATAACAAACATTGTTTCTGTGCATAATTTACATAAATGATCAAGGGCAAGGGTCAAAAATTTCTTTTCAATGCATGGTTTTCTCAATTAGTTTGGAAACAAAAACATTTCACATACGTTGAACAAAAATAGGAATGTTGATTCCCAAACATTCCAAAAAAACACGAAATTTTGATGTTTCATCACTGTTCGAATCTTTTGGGTGGACACTAAACAAATGGTAATGGCGAGATGATTAAAACATTTTGGCAAAAAGAAAAAGCAAAAGTGTAGATACATTGAAGAAAAACAATCAACCTGAAAGATAGTCCGCCCACTGGGCTCACCAAGTATCCTCTTAACACCTCTTTGATCCACTATTCTCGTCGCCCTTTCCAAGTTTTTACCAAACAAAAAATGCAAGCTGTGTTCAACGCATCAATTAGTCCGCAATCCACACACACACACATATACAGATGAATGTCATATATAAAATTGAATTGAGAGAACATCATATATTCTGACATTGAGAGCTGATCATCGGTCACTGTGGGTTGCAATTCATCGTCATCAGTGCCACCAGTTCACAGCAAAATGGGAAAAATCAATATCTGAAAGGTGAAAAAAAATATGATTGTTGAATCGAAAAGAGAGAAGGACCTGAACGAGTCGACTCGATGTCTTTCCACACCGATTCAGCAACCAAACTACATGTCGCCATTGTCACTACGTCGTGCTCTTCAAATTTTGGATTTCAAAACCCTAACCCTCTCAGTCTGGTAGTGAGCGCCCAATGCGACTATTTTCTATTCTTTTCCCCTTTGATTCGTCTGGTGGCGCCCTGCTTCTCAAAATAACTGTGCCCGCCAATTTAGGGTGCGTTCATAACGTTTTAATAAAAAAAATCAGAATTAAGTTTTGTTTATTTTGTGATAAAAATTAAAAATATAAAATATGTTTAATTGTCCTTTATATTTTTAAAAATTTGTAAAAATAAAAATAAAAAGCCTGTTTGTTTTTCTATTAAAAAATCACCACCGAAACCCCACCACTCAATGCCCATTGGCCACTCAAAACCCACCACTCAACTCCACTTGCCACCCAAAACCATCACCCAACCCCACCACTTTTTTTTTTAAAAAAAAAAAGAAAGAAAGAGAGATTTTATTTAATCAATTCAAAAAATTACAAGAATCAAAAGGATAAACCCTAATATGATTTTAATCCTTCAAAACAAATCCAAAAAATTACAAAGAATGATAATGGGGATATAGATTTTGACGGACCAAAGTCTTCTTCCTCCTTACTACTAGCAGACCCAACTGAACAAATTCATAACAAGTCTTCTTCCTTCTTACTACTGGCAGACCCAACCGAAACCCACAACCCAAACAAATCTATAACAAACACAAACAAATCTCCCCTAGCCACCCAAAACCATCACCCAAATCCACAACCCAACCCCACCACTGAAATCCACATATCTATTTATATATATGCATATATACATAGATCTATGAATATAACAAACACAAACAGTTCAATAAAAAAATAAATTCCACAGAAGGGTTAGAGAGAGAAAGAGATCAATAGAGATGGAGATGGAGATGGAAAGAGTAGAAAATTTGAAAAATTAGTGCTTCCTTCGCTAGAGTTTCGCCGTTCGCTTGAGCTTACTTTGCCCGGAGTGGCTTCACAAGAGAGAGCCGAATGAGAGAAGCACAAGAGAAAGACGAAAGAGAGAAGCAAAAAACAGGAAAAAAAAGTCTTTTTATACTTGGAACAAAAAAAATAGTTTTTATGCTGTTAATGGGGTTCGAAAATAAGACCTCATTAATTGAGGCTGAAGGACGCGCGTGTTTACATTTTTTCCCGGTTTTTGAAAGCACCTAAATAGGTGTTTTCAAAAACAGGGGTTGTTTACAAAACGGACTAGCAAAAAAAAAAACACATTCCAAACATGTTTTTATAGACTGGGAAAAAAAAACTCACATNTATTTGATATATTTCTGGTACCAGATGTAGTTATGTAGTGCACATGCAGTTTTGTGTATATTTCTATTGACTCTGGGAGTAATGAGTTTATTTATTAATTTATTCAATCAATTTGAAGATCCTCCAATGGGAGTCGCGGAGGTGCCGTAACCAAATAGATTTATCTGGAATCATCGAGTTGTCCACGTGGACGTCTATCCACCATTGAAACTACGTGAAGGTACAAAAGTGGTCCGAAATTAACGTGCAGTGTTGATTCTGTCCAATCACAAATAATCTCAGCAGTGACGTAGAAAACACAAAGAAAAAACAGCTATACTTCAGAATTATTATTTTTGTAACAATAATAGATTACGGTAGACGTCTATTGGGTATTATATTTAAATGGTGATCAATAACCTATTATTAGAAAGAAAATCCGGTCCTTATGTATTCTGTCATTACGGAATTAGATAAGGGATTACACAACAACAAGGCTCTGATGAGATAATCTAAACTTGTGGGCTACTTCGAAAAGCAGCGGCATTTCATGAAACAAACACGAGAGAGGGAGGACCATTCCACGTGTCCATGCACCACCCCTCCTCCCACCCAATAAATTATAAATCCATCCCCCTCCCTCCTCCTGGCGTACCTACCTTCACAATAATTCTCTCTCTCTCTCTCCCTCCCTCCTTCCCTCTCTACCACTTCTCAGTTCTCACTCACACGTAAAATGAGCTGGTGGTGGGCTGGAGCTATCGGCGCTGCGAAGGCAAGCAATTCCTGCCCCCTCTCTCTCTCTCTCTCTAGATTTACACACACACACACACACACTGAATTATTCTTCTTATATTCCAACATCTGAAGCTAAAATATATATCCCAATCACCTATTTGCAGAAAAAATTCGAAGAAGACGATGCACCACAAAAGTACCAAAGCGTGGCCCTAATCATCGGCGTCACCGGCATCGTTGGAAACAGCCTCGCCGAGATCCTCCCACTCGCAGACACCCCCGGCGGCCCATGGAAGGTCTATGGCGTCGCTCGCCGGCCAAGGCCCTCCTGGAACGCAGACCACCCAGTCGAATACATCCAATGCGATATCTCAGACCCAGAAGACACCCAATCGAAGCTCTCAAATCTCAACGATGTTACCCATGTTTTCTACGTCACATGGGCTAGTAGATCCACCGAAGCCGAAAATTGTGAAATCAATGGAAAATTGTTTAGAAATGTTCTCCAATCAATCATACCCAGTGCCCCAAATTTGCAGCATATCTGTCTTCAAACCGGAAGAAAACACTACTTGGGCCCTTTTGAATTGTACGGGAAAATTGCCCATGATCCTCCGTTTCACGAGGATTTACCTAGGCTTGATGCTCCAAATTTTTACTACACGCTTGAGGATATTTTGTTTGAGGAGGTGGAAAAGAAGGAAGGACTAACATGGTCTGTTCATAGGCCAGGAACGATATTTGGGTTTTCGCCATATAGTTTGATGAATATTGTTGGGACCCTTTGTGTTTATGCTGCTATATGTAAGCATCAGGGTGTTCCTCTGAGGTTTCCCGGTTGTAAGGCGGCGTGGGATGACTATTCGGATTGCTCAGACGCAGACTTGATCGCCGAGCATGAGATATGGGCAGCGGTTGATCCCTATGCGAAGAATGAGGCCTTTAATATTAGCAATGGAGATGTGTTCAAGTGGAAGCATTTTTGGAAGGTGTTGGCTGAGCAGTTTGAGGTGGAATGTGCTGAATTTGAGGAGGGAGAGAAATTGAGTTTGGTGGAGATGATGAAGGGTAAGGAGTCAGTGTGGGAAGAGATTGTGAGAGAGAAGGGTTTGTTGCCTACAAAATTGGAAGATGTTGGAGTTTGGTGGTTTGTTGATATGATGCTTGGTGGTGGGTGCATGTTGGATACTATGAACAAGAGTAAGGAGCATGGATTTGTGGGGTTCAGGAACACAAAAAACGCATTCATTTCTTGGATAGATAAGGTCAAAGCTTACAAAATTGTCCCATAGTTCGATATCTTTCTGGGTGGTCTTGGGGTGAGTTAATATCTTGAATAAGTTTGTTCTCTTCATTATGTTGTGTCCTTAAAAGAAAGGGAATAATTTTGGAAGGAAGCTTTGGCTTTCTGAATCACTGTATTTTTTGGCTTTTGCTGTTTCCTGTAATGGTCGAATTAGATTATGAGCATTACCATTGATTGGTGTCTTGTTTGTTCATCTGTTGGTTTTGAGGTCCGTTGAGGTCCAAATTTACTTCATTTCCTAATTGTGATGTGAAGTATATATCATTGCACCTTAATTGATCTCATGTGCAAATAGATTTCAAGATTTGAACCGGGGAAGCATAGATCTAAGTGAAGAAGGCAACATAGTGTTGTGCAATATATGGGCATTAGAACCAAAGGTATTAGCTAAGCTATGAATTGTAAAGAGAGTTGAAGGCCATAAATGAATCTATCACCTCATCATATTGAGAGTAGATGTATATCATGGGAAACAAGTTATGCTGACTTCTATGAAAGGGTGCCATTATAATAAATTTGAGTAGTCTGAACTAGTAAATAGTCCAGAATGGGAGAAGATGGACTCGGTGCTTAGAGGCTGTTTTCTAGAAAGATTGAGAGCCACAATCCACATAATTAAATATTCTTTTTAAAATGTGCACATCTTTTGTCATGTAATTGCTTTGAGTATCTAGCATTTGGTGTTTGAATCTATGGTCTGTGTGAATCCTATAAGGATTCATTTAAAGTCTACCTCGTTCAAAACTCCCTAGGCCTTACTATTAACTGAAGGTTAAGTGTCTTACCTCCCAGTCTCAATAGATGTAATGAAATCTAAAGAATAAGACCCTCTGGACCAGTTTTTCAAGAATTTATAGTTTCAATGTAGTTGCAAATAATGTAGCAAACACCTATTTTGAGCAGTCACAAACAGCTGGTGCCCACGAGAGTAGAAGGCCTAGGTCTTTTGGGACTCCGGCTAGGAGCTAGAATACTTGTTAAAGCAGATAAGGTGTTAGGAAAAGCCTAGACACCTTATAGAAGTCCTGCTTATGAGATGCCTCTAAGCTTATTATCGATGCCCAATTCAGAGTTGAGCCTCGGGTGCAATTGTCCTTGATCTCCTGTCAAATACAATCTCAAACAGAACAGACTGTTTACATAGAAAAACCTAATGTCAATACACCATCATATCATCCCTTGCATAAACTTTGTTTTCTCTCTAGGGCGAAACTGATTTCCAATAAAAGAAAAAGGAAAATCTCAAGAGTGTTGGTGCCAAGTTATAATGATTGAAGAATAGATGCACATAAAGCTCGGAACTAACCCCATCAATTAACCTGCAAAATATTCTTAACTATAAAACTCAAATATACACTACAAAACTAATCTAGAATGCAAAAGCAGGTCCTTCACTCTATCATAAAATGTAACACATCAATAAGCCCATTCAGATGCAATCTACTCATATATTTACCTTCAATTCCAAATCCAAACCATAGCTTCTGCCACAAGGTGCTAGAGTTTAGAAAGCAGTAATGCTAGCTCCTCATCAGACACCTTAACATCAACACATACTCCAACCGACACAGCAAGTCTTGCAGCAACTTGATGCTTACACTGGACGAGAATGCAGTAATATGGAGGAAGCAAAGGACAATTAAGGACCCTTAATGAAATCATACTAATATCAAGCAAATGCATAAGCAGAAAAGCAGAGCTCACACAAAGCTGTTCTCCTCTGTTTACTATGTCATAGAAGAAGGAATAACAAGCACAGTAGTGTTCAGGAAAGCAAAAATATTCCTCCTTCCTCCTAGATTCTCCCACCACCTAACAAGTGCAAGTAAATAAAAAAAACAATCATTATTGCTTCTTTTGAATCATTTGAAGGTATTATGGCAAAAACTAAATGCAGACGAACATGAAAAATTCTTAATTATAACAAACATTGTTTCTGTGCATAATTTACATAAATGATCAAGGGCAAGGGTCAAAAATTTCTTTTCAATGCATGGTTTTCTCAATTAGTTTGGAAACAAAAACATTTCACATACGTTGAACAAAAATAGGAATGTTGATTCCCAAACATTCCAAAAAAACACGAAATTTTGATGTTTCATCACTGTTCGAATCTTTTGGGTGGACACTAAACAAATGGTAATGGCGAGATGATTAAAACATTTTGGCAAAAAGAAAAAGCAAAAGTGTAGATACATTGAAGAAAAACAATCAACCTGAAAGATAGTCCGCCCACTGGGCTCACCAAGTATCCTCTTAACACCTCTTTGATCCACTATTCTCGTCGCCCTTTCCAAGTTTTTACCCAACAAAAAATGCAAGCTGTGTTCAACGCATCAATTAGTCCGCAATCCACACACACACACATATACAGATGAATGTCATATATAAAATTGAATTGAGAGAACATCATATATTCTGACATTGAGAGCTGATCATCGGTCACTGTGGGTTGCAATTCATCGTCATCAGTGCCACCAGTTCACAGCAAAATGGGAAAAATCAATATCTGAAAGGTGAAAAAAAATATGATTGTTGAATCGAAAAGAGAGAAGGACCTGAACGAGTCGACTCGATGTCTTTCCACACCGATTCAGCAACCAAACTACATGTCGCCATTGTCACTACGTCGTGCTCTTCAAATTTTGGATTTCAAAACCCTAACCCTCTCAGTCTGGTAGTGAGCGCCCAATGCGACTATTTTCTATTCTTTTCCCCTTTGATTCGTCTGGTGGCGCCCTGCTTCTCAAAATAACTGTGCCCGCCAATTTAGGGTGCGTTCATAACGTTTTAATAAAAAAAATCAGAATTAAGTTTTGTTTATTTTGTGATAAAAATTAAAAATATAAAATATGTTTAATTGTCCTTTATATTTTTAAAAATTTGTAAAAATAAAAATAAAAAGCCTGTTTGTTTTTCTAAAAAATCACCACCGAAACCCCACCACTCAATGCCCACTGGCCACCCAAAACCCACCACTCAACTCCACTTGCCACCCAAAACCATCACCCAATCCCACAACTTTTTTTTTTAAAAAAAAAAAGAAAGAAAGAGAGATTTTATTTAATCAATTCAAAAAATTACAAGAATCAAAAGGATAAACCCTAATATGATTTTAATCCTTCAAAACAAATCCAAAAAATTACAAAGAATGATAATGGGGATATAGATTTTGACGGACCAAAGTCTTCTTCCTCCTTACTAGTAGCAGACCCAACTGAACAAATTCATAACAAGTCTTCTTCCTTCTTACTACTGGCAGACCCAACCGAAACCCACAACCCAAACAAATCTATAACAAACACAAACAAATCTCCCCTAGCCACCCAAAACCATCACCCAAATCCACAACCCAACCCCACCACTGAAATCCACATATCTATTTATATATATGCATATATACATAGATCTATGAATATAACAAACACAAACAGTTCAATAAAAAAATAAATTCCACATAGGGGTTAGAGAGAGAAAGAGATCGATGGAGATGGAGATGGAGATGGAAAGAGTAGAAAATTTGAAAAATTAGTGCTTCCTTCGCTAGAGTTTCGCCGTTCGCTTGAGCTTACTTTGCCCGGAGTGGCTTCACAAGAGAGAGCCGAATGAGAGAAGCACAAGAGAAAGACGAAAGAGAGAAGCAAAAAACAGGAAAAAAAAGTCTTTTTATACTTGGAACAAAAAAAATAGTTTTTATGCTGTTAATGGGGTTCGAAAATAAGACCTCATTAATTGAGGCTGAAGGACGCGCGTGTTTACATTTTTTCCCGGTTTTTGAAAGCACCTAAATAGGTGTTTTCAAAAACAGGGGTTGTTTACAAAACGGACTAGCAAAAAAAAAAAAACACATTCCAAACATGTTTTTATAGACTGGGAAAAAAAAACTCACATTCCAAACATGTTTTTTATGTTAAAAAAACCACAAAAACAACTAGTTACCAAACGAGCCCTTAATTACCGACCAAATCGAACTACTGCTCCATCTGGTTGCACGAAATCTATTATAATGTGTTAGAGAATTCTGATGAAAAATAGTTTCTAAAAACTGTGCCTTAACCTATAAGAAATATTCGACAGAGTCATTATATCATATTAGTAGTGTTACGTGATTTAATTATGTACTAATTTATAAATTTAAATCACGTACTAATAAATAAATAAATTTATAAGTAAATCATACAAAAATTCATAATTATATAGTCATATAATATATAATTACCTTTATGATAAAAAATTGGTCATATTTTTGTAATTTTTTTATTAGATGGTTACATCAAATCAGTATTACTAATATAGTATAACTATTATACCCAATATTTGTGATAAAAATAAAAAACATACTAAGAAGCGAACGTCACGATTTGAATTTCATTATTAATATTTAGTCATAAAAAAAATTAAGGGACATTATTTGACGGACTAATTACTTTTAGACACTTGTCTTGGACGAGGACCCATTGATAAGAGAAAATATTGGGTCTAACGGTTACATTAAAGGTGCGTTTGAAATAACTTATAAAATTTAAAAAATATTTTTTTAATAAATGTTTATTAAAAGTGTTTATAAGAAAAATAATTTTATTAAATACGTATTGTTTGGATATTCAATATTTAAACTACTTCAATAAATGTATTTTATAAAAAGCACATTTCAATGTGAAAACACTTATTTGTGTCACAATTGTTAATAACATTGCATGCACATATACAAACATATATGACACATATAATGATACCAAAAAAAAATATCACTATGTTTGGAGAGACTCGAACTCCAAAAAAAAGAAATAAAATTGNACTGAATTATTCTTCTTATATTCCAACATCTGAAGCTAAAATATATATCCCAATCACCTATTTGCAGAAAAAATTCGAAGAAGACGATGCACCACAAAAGTACCAAAGCGTGGCCCTAATCATCGGCGTCACCGGCATCGTTGGAAACAGCCTCGCCGAGATCCTCCCACTCGCAGACACCCCCGGCGGCCCATGGAAGGTCTATGGCGTCGCTCGCCGGCCAAGGCCCTCCTGGAACGCAGACCACCCAGTCGAATACATCCAATGCGATATCTCAGACCCAGAAGACACCCAATCGAAGCTCTCAAATCTCAACGATGTTACCCATGTTTTCTACGTCACATGGGCTAGTAGATCCACCGAAGCCGAAAATTGTGAAATCAATGGAAAATTGTTTAGAAATGTTCTCCAATCAATCATACCCAGTGCCCCAAATTTGCAGCATATCTGTCTTCAAACCGGAAGAAAACACTACTTGGGCCCTTTTGAATTGTACGGGAAAATTGCCCATGATCCTCCGTTTCACGAGGATTTACCTAGGCTTGATGCTCCAAATTTTTACTACACGCTTGAGGATATTTTGTTTGAGGAGGTGGAAAAGAAGGAAGGACTAACATGGTCTGTTCATAGGCCAGGAACGATATTTGGGTTTTCGCCATATAGTTTGATGAATATTGTTGGGACCCTTTGTGTTTATGCTGCTATATGTAAGCATCAGGGTGTTCCTCTGAGGTTTCCCGGTTGTAAGGCGGCGTGGGATGACTATTCGGATTGCTCAGACGCAGACTTGATCGCCGAGCATGAGATATGGGCAGCGGTTGATCCCTATGCGAAGAATGAGGCCTTTAATATTAGCAATGGAGATGTGTTCAAGTGGAAGCATTTTTGGAAGGTGTTGGCTGAGCAGTTTGAGGTGGAATGTGCTGAATTTGAGGAGGGAGAGAAATTGAGTTTGGTGGAGATGATGAAGGGTAAGGAGTCAGTGTGGGAAGAGATTGTGAGAGAGAAGGGTTTGTTGCCTACAAAATTGGAAGATGTTGGAGTTTGGTGGTTTGTTGATATGATGCTTGGTGGTGGGTGCATGTTGGATACTATGAACAAGAGTAAGGAGCATGGATTTGTGGGGTTCAGGAACACAAAAAACGCATTCCTTTCTTGGATAGATAAGGTCAAAGCTTACAAGATTGTCCCATAGTTCGATATCTTTCTGGGTGGTCTTGGGGTGAGTTAATATCTTGAATAAGTTTGTTCTCTTCATTATGTTGTGTCCTTAAAAGAAAGGGAATAATTTTGGAAGGAAGCTTTGGCTTTCTGAATCACTGTATTTTTTGGCATTTGCTGTTTCCTGTAATGGTCGAATTAGATTATGAGCATTACCATTGATTGGTGTCTTGTTTGTTCATCTGTTGGTTTTGAGGTCCAAATTTACTTCATTTCCTAATTGTGATGTGAAGTATATATCATTGCACCTTAATTGATCTCATGTGCAAATAGATTTCAAGATTTGAACCAGAAAATAAAACCGGGGAAGCATAGATTTAAGTGAAGAAGGCAACATAGTGTTGTGCAATATATGGGCATTAGAACCAAAGGTATNGGGGAAGCATAGATCTAAGTGAAGAAGGCAACATAGTGTTGTGCAATATATGGGCATTAGAACCAAAGGTATTAGCTAAGCTATGAATTGTAAAGAGAGTTGAAGGCCATAATGAATCTATCACCTCATCATATTGAGAGTAGATGTATATCATGGGAAACAAGTTATGCTGACTTCTATGAAAGGGTGCCATTATAATAAATTTGAGTAGTCTGAACTAGTAAATAGTCCAGAATGGGAGAAGATGGACTCGGTGCTTAGAGCTGTTTTCTAGAAAGATTGAGAGCCACAATCCACATAATTAAATATTCTTCCTAAAATGTGCACATCTTTTGTCATGTAATTGCTTTGAGTATCTAGCATTTGGTGTTTGAATCTATGGTCTGTGTGAATCCTATAAGGATTCATTTAAAGTCTACCTCGTTCAAAACTCCCTAGGCCTTACTATTAACTGAAGGTTAAGTGTCTTACCTCCCAGTCTCAATAGATGTAATGAAATCTAAAGAATAAGACCCTCTGGACCAGTTTTTCAAGAATTTATAGTTTCAATGTAGTTGCAAATAATGTAGCAAACACCTATTTTGAGCAGTCACAAACAGCTGGTGCCCAGGAGAGTAGAAGGCCTAGGTCTTTTGGGACTCCGGCTAGGAGCTAGAATACTTGTTAAAGCAGATAAGGTGTTAGGAAAAGCCTAGACACCTTATAGAAGTCCTGCTTATGAGATGCCTCTAAGCTTATTATCGATGCCCAATTCAGAGTTGAGCCTCGGGTGCAATTGTCCTTGATCTCCTGTCAAATACAATCTCAAACAGAACAGACTGTTTACATAGAAAAACCTAATGTCAATACACCATCATATCATCCCTTGCATAAACTTTGTTTTCTCTCTAGGGCGAAACTGATTTCCAATAAAAGAAAAAGGAAAATCTCAAGAGTGTTGGTGCCAAGTTATAATGATTGAAGAATAGATGCACGTAAAGCTCGGAACTAACCCCATCAATTAACCTGCTAAAAATTCTTAACTATAAAACTCAAATATACACTACAAAACTAATCTAGAATGCAAAAGCAGGTCCTTCACTCTATCATAAAATGTAACACATCAATAAGCCAATTCAGATGCAATCTACTCATATATTTACCTTCAATTCCAAATCCAAACCATAGCTTCTGCCACAAGGTGCTAGAGTTTAGAAAGCAGTAATGCTAGCTCCTCATCAGACACCTTAACATCAACACATACTCCAACCGACACAGCAAGTCTTGCAGCAACTTGATGCTTACACTGGACGAGAATGCAGTAATATGGAGGAAGCAAAGGACAATTAAGGACCCTTAATGAAATCATACTAATATCAAGCAAATGCATAAGCAGAAAAGCAGAGCTCACACAAAGCTGTTCTCCTCTGTTTACTATGTCATAGAAGAAGGAATAACAAGCACAGTAGTGTTCAGGAAAGCAAAAATATTCCTCCTTCCTCCTAGATTCTCCCACCACCTAAAAAGTGCAAGTAAATAAAAAAAACAATCATTATTGCTTCTTTTGAATCATTTGAAGTTATTATGGCAAAAACTAAATGCAGACGAACATGAAAAATTCTTAATTATAACAAACATTGTTTCTGTGCATAATTTACATAAATGATCAAGGGCAAGGGTCAAAAATTTCTTTTCAATGCATGGTTTTCTCAATTAGTTTGGAAANCTGTTTTCTAGAAAGATTGAGAGCCACAATCCACATAATTAAATATTCTTCCTAAAATGTGCACATCTTTTGTCATGTAATTGCTTTGAGTATCTAGCATTTGGTGTTTGAATCTATGGTCTGTGTGAATCCTATAAGGATTCATTTAAAGTCTACCTCGTTCAAAACTCCCTAGGCCTTACTATTAACTGAAGGTTAAGTGTCTTACCTCCCAGTCTCAATAGATGTAATGAAATCTAAAGAATAAGACCCTCTGGACCAGTTTTTCAAGAATTTATAGTTTCAATGTAGTTGCAAATAATGTAGCAAACACCTATTCTGAGCAGTCACAAACAGCTGGTGCCCAGGAGAGTAGAAGGCCTAGGTCTTTTGGGACTCCGGCTAGGAGCTAGAATACTTGTTAAAGCAGATAAGGTGTTAGGAAAAGCCTAGACACCTTATAGAAGTCCTGCTTATGAGATGCCTCTAAGCTTATTATCGATGCCCAATTCAGAGTTGAGCCTCGGGTGCAATTGTCCTTGATCTCCTGTCAAATACAATCTCAAACAGAACAGACTGTTTACATAGAAAAACCTAATGTCAATACACCATCATATCATCCCTTGCATAAACTTTGTTTTCTCTCTAGGGCGAAACTGATTTCCAATAAAAGAAAAAGGAAAATCTCAAGAGTGTTGGTGCCAAGTTATAATGATTGAAGAATAGATGCACGTAAAGCTCGGAACTAACCCCATCAATTAACCTGCAAAATATTCTTAACTATAAAACTCAAATATACACTACAAAACTAATCTAGAATGCAAAAGCAGGTCCTTCACTCTATCATAAAATGTAACACATCAATAAGCCAATTCAGATGCAATCTACTCATATATTTACCTTCAATTCCAAATCCAAACCATAGCTTCTGCCACAAGGTGCTAGAGTTTAGAAAGCAGTAATGCTAGCTCCTCATCAGACACCTTAACATCAACACATACTCCAACCGACACAGCAAGTCTTGCAGCAACTTGATGCTTACACTGGACGAGAATGCAGTAATATGGAGGAAGCAAAGGACAATTAAGGACCCTTAATGAAATCATACTAATATCAAGCAAATGCACAAGCAGAAAAGCAGAGCTCACACAAAGCTGTTCTCCTCTGTTTACTATGTCATAGAAGAAGGAATAACAAGCACAGTAGTGTTCAGGAAAGCAAAAATATTCCTCCTTCCTCCTAGATTCTCCCACCACCTAAAAAGTGCAAGTAAATAAAAAAAACAATCATTATTGCTTCTTTTGAATCATTTGAAGGTATTATGGCAAAAACTAAATGCAGACGAACATGAAAAATTCTTAATTATAACAAACATTGTTTCTGTGCATAATTTACATAAATGATCAAGGGCAAGGGTCAAAAATTTCTTTTCAATGCATGGTTTTCTCAATTAGTTTGGAAACAAAAACATTTCACATACGTTGAACAAAAATAGGAATGTTGATTCCCAAACATTCCAAAAAAACACGAAATTTTGATGTTTCATCACTGTTCGAATCTTTTGGGTGGACACTAAACAAATGGTAATGGCGAGATGATTAAAACATTTTGGCAAAAAGAAAAAGCAAAAGTGTAGATACATTGANTGAAACTTAATAGGTTCGATAATTAGTCCACCTAAGTTCAAGTTCAATATCTTTAAAAAAAAAAGTTTGAGTTTGCCCCCAAATTCATAATCAGGCCTGAAACCCGGCCCAAAAACCCACCTGCCNAAAAACACGAAATTTTGATGTTTCATCACTGTTCGAATCTTTTGGGTGGACACTAAACAAATGGTAATGGCGAGATGATTAAAACATTTTGGCAAAAAGAAAAAGCAAAAGTGTAGATACATTGAAGAAAAACAATCAACCTGAAAGATAGTCCGCCCACTGGGCTCACCAAGTATCCTCTTAACACCTCTTTGATCCACTATTCTCGTCGCCCTTTCCAAGTTTTTACCAAACAAAAAATGCAAGCTGTGTTCAACGCATCAATTAGTCCGCAATCCACACACACACACATATACAGATGAATGTCATATATAAAATTGAATTGAGAGAACATCATATATTCTGACATTGAGAGCTGATCATCGGTCACTGTGGGTTGCAATTCATCGTCATCAGTGCCACCAGTTCACAGCAAAATGGGAAAAATCAATATCTGAAAGGTGAAAAAAAATATGATTGTTGAATCGAAAAGAGAGAAGGACCTGAACGAGTCGACTCGATGTCTTTCCACACCGATTCAGCAACCAAACTACATGTCGCCATTGTCACTACGTCGTGCTCTTCAAATTTTGGATTTCAAAACCCTAACCCTCTCAGTCTGGTAGTGAGCGCCCAATGCGACTATTTTCTATTCTTTTCCCCTTTGATTCGTCTGGTGGCGCCCTGCTTCTCAAAATAACTGTGCCCGCCAATTTAGGGTGCGTTCATAACGTTTTAATAAAAAAAATCAGAATTAAGTTTTGTTTATTTTGTGATAAAAATTAAAAATATAAAATATGTTTAATTGTCCTTTATATTTTTAAAAATTTGTAAAAATAAAAATAAAAAGCCTGTTTGTTTTTCTA